TTGTTTATTTCAATAATACTACTAGATACGATTGCGATGGAGGTTGTTTATTTAAGAGTTGTTTAATGCGTAGTAAGTCTATTTTTAGAAACGTTTATAAAATTCAATAACGACCTTTTATGGAATTAAATAATCGTTTCAAAATGTTATAAATAAAAATTATTTCACATACTTAAAAGGTTAAAACCGTATCTTAGGTTATTGTGATATAATGCATATTAATAATTTCTAATTTAATACGCATACGACATTTTTTTTAGAACATTCCTCTTCCTTGGTAATGTTAATGTTAGTTATAAATATTTATAAAAATCGATTATCCTTATTTAGCATTTATTTCTTAGAAACCTAATTTTAACATCCTACCAATAATGAATGATAATGAATTTATGCACAGTTGTTGACGCGACCAGTACTCGTTATGACCATTATATTTGCGTATTTTATGCAAAAGTTTACTAAATAAACGTACACACGTGCTTGTTTTTCCAGTTCCTGAAATATCTTTCTTTGAACTATAATAAAAGAAGTGACGGGTACGTGATTAACATAGATACCGAGAAACTTCTACGAAACTTTCAATAACATCCGAAAAATTTACTAAACTTTCTTCATTCAACAATAAAGATTTTGTAAACACAAATTACTCATCAGCTAAAAGATTTTATTGATGATAATGAAAAAAAATGAGGTCATAGTTCAACATAGTGACTAACGCACGTGATTAAACACGCGGAATCGTATTAAGTTAATGCATATAGGATATTATCACATGATAATACAATAGAAACGTTGATTTTTTTAATTAGCTTGTTTTTGTTTAAACTTATTTAATAGAGTTCATTTAAACGTTTAGAATCATTTAGATATTGGCAAGGATACTTTGTTGGTGAAATAAAGTCAAGGTTAAAAATCAGAAATAAATAATGTTTTAACTAAATTATGTTGTTAAGAAGTTCATACAAGATGTTTATGACTCAGTAAACAACTTAAAATTTTTAATTTTTATAATTATGCACTTTAGATGTCATTTTAGATGATAACAAATAAGATATCAATATCATTTAAGACCTTATGAATTAAATTAATCAAGATTATTAATTTATTGGGTCCGATTTAACTTGATAAATCGAGATGTTCTCGGTCTTCATCATTAAAATATTGACGGGAGTTTAATAACGGAGATAACATCACTGATAAACGAAATCTTAACAGAACAAAAGATACTAAATTCATGGAATACAAGTAAAATGTTTCTAATGTTCAAAAAAGGAGTTAAAAAAGAACCGAATACCTACAACACAATGCTTAAACTAGTAACTAAGATTATCACACCAAAATTAATTCCATTGCTACACTGGTCGAAGAATAACATGGTTTTAGGATAGGAAGGTTCTGTTTTGGTAATGAGACAAGTCGTAGAAAAATCAATAGGGTATAATGATCCCACATTTTTAAGTTTGATTGATTTACTCCTAAGGTCTTTGACATTCAGAAAACAACAGTATATAAGCACGGATAGATGGGAACTTTACCAAGGAAATACTTGTAAATACTGGAATTCGACTCATTGAGTCCACTATTGTTGAATATTGTGATGGATGAAATCAGAAAATGTTATGGATGAGTTACAGAATGGGTTGATCTTTGATCTACAACTCTTCAACAACATAGAGCAAAATAATTCAACGTGTCCATAATCGGTCAAAAAACTATAATATAATAGAACATATCATATCAACAGGTTATTGTAATAGAACAAGATTCGGTGATTTTGAAAATGAAGTATCCAACAACTCAAGAAAATAAATAAAACCGCAGGCTGCTTAAACGATACTTTATAGAGGATATAAGAGCATCATAAGATCTATCATGACCTATACGGCTTAGACTAGACTAGTGAGAGAATAAGCTGAGAAAGATATATGAAGTGAAAAATATCGACAATTGAATACATAACAGTAAAAAAGAATGGAATGCGCACATAGTAAGAATGGGACAAAATTGAATAGTAAAAAAAGTGAATTATAATGGAAGTCTATTATACCAGTTGTTATTTAAGGAAAAATAATTCTGTAAACTATTATGTACTTTATCTGGTCTTTTGTTGTTATTTTTAGTCTTACTAGTTCAACACTCGGTCATCATTAGTGACTGTCAAATTTTATTTATTTTTCGCTGCTATGTAAACGAAGTCAAGGACGACCGAGATAGAGATGAAGCAATAATTTACGCAGAGAATAGAGGCATAATCGATAAAGAACAAACTCCAAGCCTAAGTGGAAGAAAGAAGAAGAAGTCTCACAACGGAAGGCATTTTATTACACATTACATTGAATAGTCGAAATAAGAACTACGTTTCCCTTTTTGTGGCATAAGCATTATATTATTAACATTTTTGCATATTTTTGGGGTTTTCTATTTATAAGGTTTCGTGTAGCTATGATCAGTTTCGAGAAATTTTTGTCTTGCAATTATAAAGTTAGGATTTTTCTGCACTATGTAAAATAGCAAAACACTTATATTTTCATTTCCATGCTTGGAAACTAGACTACCATGGATAGTCAAAGATGGACTTCTAGAGCAATTTCCCAGTATAAATAATTAAGAAACAAGACTTTTAAAGTAAGAAGATCCAATATGCTTTATGTTTGGAAATGAGCCTGAATACGTGCTCTGTTCTAAGTCTTTATTGATAACTTGGTAATCTTTCTGGAATGAGGTGTGACGAATTTGTCAATAAATTCTTTTCTCAACAATCAGATGCTGAAAATAATGTCTATTCGGGTTAAGTAGAGTTTTCCTGATCTGAATGTCAAGGTGTACCGGTCAAGTTCACAATGAAACAACACATGATTTAGCATGAATCATATTCGATTGTAAACAAAAATGTAAGGAAGTATTCAGAAAAGTTGAATCAACGAATTCTTTGGATATTAGACATATAACAGAGGTTCTTATTAAAACCAAGAACATTTTAAAGCTAAATCTTGCTAGCATCACAGTTTTAATGAGTTGGTTTCAGAGAGATGGTATTCAGTATTGTCTTAAATAGATGACCAAGATGATAACTAGTAGCATTTGAACATTTATTGATGTTATTATAAAACTTACTCTCTCAGTTTCGGCATCATACTTGCAGTATAATAAATAATAGCTATTATGATGCATTCCAATAGAGCACTTATTCGACATCTTAACAACCAGTGAGCGCAATTGGCACAACTGGGTTTTACCGGTATATTTTATGGTCTCTATTTTTGATGATGGAATAGCGCCAAAGAAATATTATTCGAATCTGACAATAACATTGGCAGATGCTGCAATATCTGCAATGTATGACACAAACAACGTTGTAGATTATATTTCAATTTAAGAAGATGGTGATTGCGACCTTAACTCGTTGCTCAGCATATTCTTATTGGACAGTCACTGAAAGTATCAAGTTTATGAAGTTCATTGATAAATCAATTATGTATTTGATTTAAGGGACAACTTATGAATGCCTAGTGAAATGGGATTTGTGAATGTGTGATCTGGAGATTTATTGTATGCTGATGGCCGATTATAAAAATTACAGGGGTTGAGGAAAGAATTGTTGAAATTCTTAGAATAGCTCCGGATCACTACTCATGTTGCAGATTTTATCCTCATTGGTTTGCTTATTTCCAATCGCATTGACGATGGTCATCATGAAGTAAATACTGTAAAAAGCAAATTGGTAAAATTATTTTTAATCGTTTTAAGAATGTATAAAAGGAAACGCAAATTCCGGAGATTATTGGATGATTCAAGTTGGATAGAGATCCTGAAAGTTTTTCTGTGAGAGTTGCAAAAATAAGAAACGATTTAGCGACATGTTTGTCAAGTAATTTAAAGAATTTTAATGAAATAATTAAATTTTTTTCAATTTCATCATAAACTATGAATCAGTTCAGAATTTCCTTACTACGTGACAAAAAAATAGATATTTTCAGAAAATATTAATCCGCATTGTTTTGTAATACCTATGATAAATTTCCTATTACTCATTCACTTTTCTTTTATGACAAAACCCTCAATCGAGTAATTTATTAATTTTATTTGAGTTGGATAAATTTTTATAATTGTAGGATTTAAACATTAAATAGATAAAAATCGTAATTAAATGTATTATTTACTGAATACTTTTTGAAACCTCGTTAAAACCATAATACCTCAACAATCCATTAATATTAACTTTGTTATTTAATGTTTTGTCGCAAATAATAATTTATCGCAACCAAATGGATGTCTTGCGGTAAACATGTTTGTTTGAAATTTGAGAAGTTGATTTTCGTAAGATGAGGAAGCAAAGTGATTTGTTTTGAATGAGATAACAATCAATACACAATAAGATGTGAATGAATTAAAATGCATTATTATTTTAAAAAAAATTGTTATTGCAGCCTAAAATAGACTTTCTTTTTTTGTGATAAATCACCATGTATTTTGTTATTGTTTCCTCCAAGTTTATCAGACGAATTTTATTTCCTCTCTAAGTAGAGGTTATTTATAGACGTGGCTGTTTACTTCGGGCGTTTCCAATTTTAATTGGCGCAAACCCGATCGTCTAAAATGCAGTAATTAATTAATAAAATAACAACTCGCCTTTCGAAAGCGGCAAACCAACTTGTCGGTTTTGTACCGATTTACCCTTTCCTCCAGTCTTAACCCAATTTCATTCTGTAGTTAACCGCGTATTTCATCAAAAATATATTTTTTTTTAATTTACATTATCTTAATGTTTTTAAGATCACGTGCTTTTAGGAATTTCTTACATATAAATTTAATCTACTACGCATTTTTTAGCATGTCGGCGTAAACAAGGAGGAAAAAGAGAAAAAAACTGATTTATCATCATCAATTTTAGTTCGCTATCTTAAGACGCAAGGTCGTCAACTTGACAGCAGACATCAATTCACGCCTTAATAGATCAGAAGAGACGAAATAACCATCTGCATCACAACACACCAACTTACCATAACCGGTGGTCCAGACGACAATTCCGAAAGCTTTCGGTTCTTCTTCGTCCGTTTTTCTTTGAATGATAAACCCGGTTTCTACGACTGAAGAAAAGATTTTCAATTCGTCGTGGTCGAACCATTTCGATTCCCTTAGTTTTTGCCCAACTACATAACTGTTAGTCCGAGCAATATTTTTCGGATTTGGTTTAAAACATGCCGATTTATTGGTGACCATTGGAGCGCTAGGTCTTCTTTCGGTGATCCTCGAGTTTGAATGGAACTCGTGTTCGTTGAAGTGGTCGTTGACTTGGAAATGCATTGACTCATACAGCATCATTTTGTATCTCAAAATGTTTCTTTTCTTATAATTTAAAAGATTAAATGAAAACTTTACGGTTTTATAAAGCGAATAATAAAATAATAGTTATCCAATTATAATTCATTTGATGGAAAATAAAAATGTCTTGAGAAAAACACAGACACTTAAAGAGAAAAGCACGAAATAATAGCGCGCACTGTGTGTTCACTTCCTATCCTTACGTTCGAATGAGAGCGTTGGGAATGAAATTTTTCGTTTGAGGCTTCGTCGCAGGAGGCGTGTACATGTGGCGTGTCACGTTGTTTTGTGTATTCTAGCAGGAGAGCGTGGTCTGTTGAGCGCATCGCACCTGGGACATAACTTGGCGGGGTTTGTGCAGGACCGTACTCGCTCCGGATACATGTAGGCGGATTTATCAATTTTTCTCCTTTTACGAGCGTGGGCTTCATTGCGTGGTTACTCTCGGAATCCTTATTGGGTAAACAACTAATTGAAAAAAATGTGTTGTGTAGGAATTCGTACCAATTTAGGCGATGTTTGTTTACTAAAAGTTGTTCCCTTATTCATTTAATAACGTCATGTTTTTAATTACTAAGTTTTTGTAACATAACAAAACAAATTAGAAAATTTATTTACAAGCGAAGAAGATGAGAAAATGGATGCGAAATTAGAATTTTGAATTGCATGAATTTACACGGCTTCATTAACAGAAGAGAGAAACCACGGTTGATGTTGAAAGATATCAAAAGCGGCGTTGAGGAAAGCCTAAAACTAAGTGATGACGTGATTGCCTCTATTTAAAGATGATTTGAAGTATGAAGTCAGAGACGATATTGCATCAAGTTACGAGCTATCTTGGCTATCTGGAGAAGGTGATTGGAACGATCATCTAGAAAGATGTCAAACGATATTAAGAGAGTTAATTGATGACTGGAGAATGAGATGTCAGAAGACGTCTAGCGTAGATAGCACTGACATTGAAAGTAATTGAGCGTGATAGGAATGATATTAGAGATTATGCCAATCGTGCCAGAAAAGGCTATGTTCTGTAATGACCAGAAACAGTGCAGAAAAGTGGTAGTTCAACATCGTTGACGAGTTTAAAAGGCAATATTAATCGTTTCTATGTGAGAGTTGTTAGGAACGATGTTAAGAGATCAAAGACGATGATGAACCAAGGTACTGATGCAGTATCTGCAAAAACGATTTTTAATATGAAGTTGGCCTTCCATTTTTTTGCTATTAAAAGTTCAGATAAACCTTCTACAGTATTGAATAATTTATTTCACTTGATATTTATCCAGCTATTGAACGTCAGAGGAATAGGAACAATGTTGAGGAAGACCAGATGTTGAAAGATCCCTGCTGTTTTATTGAAACAAGCTAAGGATGAGTATGAGAGGATGATAAACAACTTGCCAAGATGTCAACACGATGTACCTCAATACATCTAACTGACGATATTAAGACATGACTGAAGACGATGTTGAGAGATAACAAGAACGATATTAAGAATAAATAGAGTAGATATTAACGATGTGATTGTTATTAAGAACGATCTTGAGAGATAGTTATCAGAGACGATGTTGAGTGAGGTCGTGAAACGTGTGAAAAATGTGATCTTTTAAGAATTTCCCAAAACAATATTTTCTGAGTTCAGTTATTAATAAGTGGTAGCATTTAACTATAAGCACAAAGAGAAGAAGGTGACTGAACAGGAACGGGGAAGGGAAGAAAGAGACAAGTCATAGTAGTAAGAGATTGAATATTCACTAGAAGAGAGAAAAGTGAAATTGGCCAAAGTGGAGGGAGTCTGGAGAGAGACTTTTAAAAGAGTCAAATAACTGGAAAGACACTGATATTAGAAGAAAGTGACACACAAAAATAATGAATGAAAGTCACAAAGAAAATTCTTACAGATGTTATCAGCTGTTTGCTTCAGTTATTCATTTTTCTGTAGGTTGTTGAGGAAATAAAATGTCAATAAGTGACGATATTCTGCGTTTATTTTGACAACAACCCAATAATGTTCAAAGCTAATGTGTTGATGATTTATTGATGACCACTTCGGTATAGTTTTCCAAGAACTTTCAATTTCGGACACGTGCGATGTTTCCCGTGTGTTATCTAATATTATCGTAACATTCGGAATGGTTTCGCAGTATGCACTAGTACCTTCGAAAGGAGTAGGTTCAAGCTGATTCAGGCAGCCAGCTCCGATATTTGCGGGCCTCTGGAGTTCGTTCAATCTATTCCTCACTGTGGCTATGAAGTATTAGCCAACATAATAATAAAATTATAAAATTAACTTTTGGCAGACTTTTTATTTTGCGTCTGTTATGTTTTGCTTCAAAAACAATTGTGTGCAAATATAAAAATAATAACAAATGAAATACAATTTTATGTTTTTAAATGGAGCTGCTGCCACAGCACGCTACATCCACTTCCCCTCCTATAAAGAAAGAACAGAAAGAGGGAAAACATTTAGTCAAAAATTTGAATTAAAATTTAAAATGTACTTTTTTAGTTTTATTAATTATTAAATTGTTGACTTCAGGAGAAACGTTTTCGTTCAGAAAGAAAGCCGGTTTCAGCAAATCGAGGCTTACATTTATTTCTTTACTGTCTTTCAATACAACGAAAAATTTTGAAAATCTCTTCAACACTCTGAAGGGACCTTCGTACCTAGGAGACAACGTAGGTTTAATTCCAGTAATTTTAACAAATACAAAGTTTGACCTGAATAATTCTTTGTGAACAAAAGGTTTTTGGCTGGAATGTATGGTTGACTGAACTGGTTTAATGTCAGCAAAAGATGATTTTAAACGTGATAATAATGGTTCAGTTTCAATTGATGGTTCGGTAGGTAAGAAAAATTCTCCTGGTAATCTGAGTTGCTGACCATAAACCAATTCAGCGGATGAGCAACCTAAATCCTCCTTTAGGGATGACCTGAGACCTAGGAGAATCAAAGGCAAGTCATTGTTCCATCTAGTAGAATTACCTCGAGCAATAATCGCTGATTTCAAAGTACGGTGAAATCGTTCAATCATACCGTTACTTTGTGGGTGATAAGCAGATGTGTGTATTTGATGAGTACCTAAAAATAATTGGAATTTTGAAAATAATAGTGATTCGAATTGTCGTCCTTGATCGTGAGTGATCATGGTAGGAATACCGAAACGGCTGAAGTAATGCCTGAAAAGAGTATCTGCAATAGAGGCTGCAGAGATATCTTTTAGAGGAAAAGCCTCTGGCCACCGTGTGAAACGCTCAATGACTGTGAGCAGATAAGTACATCCAAGAGATGGAACAAGTGGGCCAACCAAATCAATGTGAATGTGTTCAAATCGAACTTTTGGAACTTTGATTTTGAGAATTGGCGATTTTGTATGCCTTTGTATCTTAACTTTCTGGCATTGTAAACATGATTTTGTCCAAATACGAATTTGTTTCGACATATGAGGCCAAAAGAATTTTGTTTTTATTAAATGAATGGTTGCTCGAATGCCAGGGTGAGATAAACCATGAAATTTTTGTATAACTATTTCTCTAAATTGCTGCGGAATGTAGATTCGCGGAGATTCCGTTGATATTTCACACCATAATTTGATATCAGGTAGCGTTGTGGGTTGTAGCAATAACTGATAGGGTGTTGTAGTGTGAGTGTGAGAAAATTGTTTATGTAGTAGGTTCGACAATTCGATATCTGTGACTTGAGCTTTGTAAAGTGTAAGTGTGTCGGGGTACTGAGAATTTAGGGATTCAATATTTGTCCTGGACAAAGCGTCTGCAACAATATTGGAATTTCCCTTAATGTATCTCACATCGGATGTATATTGTGTTATGTAATTTAGGTACCTGGTTTGTCGTGGTGTTTTTTCTGTTGATGAAAATATTGCCGTAGTTATAGGTTTGTGATCGGTGAAAACTGTAAAATTGTTTCCATGTAGGAAATGATTAAAAAATTTTATGGCAGAATATATTGCCAATAGCTCTCTGTCGAACGTTGAATATTTAACTTTACTTGGAGAAAGTTTATGTGAATAAAATGCTAATGGTTGCGGTGTTTCATCAATAATTTGGCTCAGAACTGCTCCTATACCTGTATTAGAAGCGTCTGTGGTAAGTGACAGCGAAGCGTGAGGAGATGGATGTCTCACTTTAAATCCGACTTGGCATTGCAATCCTCTCCAATCAGATCTTTTAATTCATGCAGTTTAAGCCAGAAATCACTATCTCGCGTTATACTGTTCACTGATAACAAGTATGTCAACGTTTATCTTACATTGCAACTACTTGGAGAAATTGTCCTGCGAATTCCTGACTTAGACCGATTTAGCAACTTCCAGCACAATCCTAAAGTTTTGACACCTAACAATTTAGGCATAAGACTTTTCCTTTCCTGTTATGTCCTTTAGCAGAAATATCTACAGTAAAATTTTACTTCCAGTTAGCTTCTGGCTTCAGTCTAGATATTCATCTAATTCCTGTTACAACAAAAATAGGATTTCTGAGGTTCTATGTTTGATGGAGATTTTAATCTTTAATTTCCATTGCAGGTGCAGAAGCTGTCATGCGATCGTTGTCTCAATTTCGTTATTTGTAATTAGACCATCAAGGTTCGAACAGTCTACCGACATTCTAGGGGTCAATTCATAAATGTTCTGGTCTTAGCTAGCTACCCCAATTCGATTAATATGCTATGGTCCTTGGTTTCGCATACCAGTTTGACGGTGATTTCGGTCTCTTCGGATCTTACATTATAGCGTAGATTGCGTAGGGGCCGTAGGGCATAGGAATAGCCTGTTCGTTCGGCTGGTTTGATAATTAAGGTAGGACTCCTTTGCTCCTTTCTTAACCTTTTCTTAACATAAGGAAATTTAGAGGTAGTAATACAATAGACACAATAGAACGAACTGAAATAAACCTTTTTTTATGATAAAATTCGCTCTTGGGCACATGAAAGAGTTCCGAAAAGTTTTCGAAAAAGTGAAACAAAATGATACAATGATACAAAACAAAAATTACAAAACGCAGTTCACCAAAAATTACTTTTTAACTGAAGTTGACTTTCCACTGTTTGCAGAATGATTTGTAAACTGTTAGAAGAATAGGGATGATATTGAGGAGGGCCAGAGACGATGTTGAGATAATAGAGGCCGGGATAATATTGAAAATAGGTAGAAGGACCTTGAAACAGGAACATCTTTAGTCAAGATATAACAGGGATGATGTTAAGAGATGGTAAGAACGATATTGAGGGATACCAGAGAACACATCAACTTTGAATAGTGATGTAGTTGG